CCCAAAAATACTCATGATAATTAGCATTATCAAGAGCTACGGAAGACATAAAATGTTGGATGACTATGGCACCTCAAGAGGAGGGGGGGTGGGGGGTGTTGAATTGAAGTTTTTAAAATTTTTATTGAAAGAAGATAATTAAAATGATTTTAAAGTTATTTTAAAAAGAATAAGAAATCACACATTTTTTACAAAAAAGATAAAGAAAATAGACGCAAGAAATAAAAATAAGACAATATTTTATGTGGTTCGGCCCGGATTTCAATATGACCTACGTCCACGCTAGTCAACTCTCGGGCTAGAATTCACTAATCCCAGATTTGAATTGCAAATCTTACATTTTTAACCAAAAAATTTCTTTACAACATAAGTACTCTCTAATATGGGCGAGTACAACTCAATCTAATTACAATTTAAACTTTACTAAGCGAAATGGCTTAGATAAGAAAATGAAAATACAATTTGATGTAAATAATACAAGCTCAAATTATCTTGCAATAAAATGTCCACAATATTTGATGTGATCTTTCAAATTAATTTTAATCATCTCACTACTTGCAAATTGAATATTAAATTTACTCACTTTAAGATAGATTTATATTTTGATAAAAATATGAATAATATTTTCTTGGTTATTTAAACTTTAACTCTTCAAATCTAAAAAAAAATGAATTAGATTTTAAATGTAAATTTATGCCACATTAAAGAAAATAAAAATATTTGCTTTGCTAACTTTACGGATTTAAAAGATGTAATATAGAAAACTTAATATAACATCCCCTACTAGTATTTCACCAAATAATAAATATTTTCAAGAAAGAAATATAGGGTGATAGCTAAAAGAACAACAAGTAAAGATTTAACGAAGGAAAACAAACTCAAGAGCTCTAAGAGATATTACACGATTTTGTGTATTGAAGTTTTTTAATCAAGGATTCGATCTCGCAAATGAAAAGCGCTATTGGGATAAAAATCAAAGTTTATCCTCTCAAGATTTAGCATGTAAAGAAGAAAAGAAGAATGAAAGAATTGTTATAGTTTTTCTTTTTGTGCACATGAAGAGGAATATAGGTATTTTAAAGAGAAAGAGTAAATAAAAGATAAATTTGAATAAAATTATTAATCTAATATTAATTTATCAACTAATAATATTATATTTGATCAAGAATTCATTTATATTTTAAATAGATATAAGCTTCAAATGGCTATAAAACAGCTAGTCACATGGGAAGTCAAAAAGTCTTCATATACATTCAAAATAAGGCAAAAATAACTACCCATAAAATTATATTAAAATTTGATAATATTTAGAAATTCATTATAAATTCAAATGAGATCTAAATGAGTCATATAACCTATCAATTTTTACCTACATAATCCAAGGAATCTAAAGCAATAAAAATAATATTATGTTTCCTTCAAATTAATATGATATGCAGCAAAATAAGAACATATGCACATTTTAAAATATTTAAGGATATATTGAATATTCATATAATAATATGATGTAATTTAAATAAAATAAATCATACATCAATAAATTAATGTGAAACAAGTCAATTTAAAATGAATAAATAATAAAAGTTTTACCAAATATGCTTATTACATTTAATTTCCTTAATTATATATATTTTGATATTTGATAACAATTATTTAATCAATGAAGCTTATAAAATTTATTTAATAAAGAAATCTTATATATTTCTTTATCTAATATATAATTAATAGATATTTAGATTGTGAGCAAATCAAACCATGCAAATAAATATTAATGGACAACTAGCATACTCGTACGATAACATAAAGTCCTTCCAAGTTGTTCATCTTGATCTCAACATTTGATCGAACTTGAGTTGTGCAATATAAATCTCATAAGTAATTACTATGCACATCATTACATCTGAAATACTTAGCACACAAATTAGAACATCTAAGCATGTGTTTGTTATCATCAAAATCAATAAAATAGGTCATGAGATAGATAATATCAACATATATGACACTAAAATCCATTTGAAAAGTAGCAAGGATGTCATGCTTTCTTAGAAAAGAAAGATGACTAAAGCACAAACGTAAACGCATGATAAAACTAAAGCTTCGTTTGGAACGGCTTTTTTTTATTGTTTTCTGAACTTTTTAGTACATAAAAACTACTTTAGAGAACAGTAAGAAAGCTGTCCAAAACGAAGCCTAAGATTCAAACTTTTCAAACCAGAACTAAAATACTAGGTAGATAAGGATTGCCACAAAACTAATTAATTGTAAAATACATCAACTTAAGTTTAAATGAAATCACAATGCAAGTCTTGTATGAATGGGGCAATATACTATATGACATGAATTGCACATAGTTATCCATTCTTATGAAGCCTTATGTTTCATTTACAACAACTTTCTTACTACTTTCTAAAATAAGTTTTTAGTATAAAAATATTTAAAGTAAAAGAAATTTAATACTAAAAAGCTTCTTTAAATAGTAGTAAGAAAATTATCCCAAACAAAATGATAGGAAACACTTGTAGATCTCAAGTATTTCCTATCAATCTTCGAAAAATAGAGAGAATTCTCCACAAAAATCTACACAAAATCACGAAAACAATATATAATTTGTATTATTTGATGAAATAGAAACGAAAAATAGCAAGATATAATTGATCCTCAATTCATGAGGAGGATCAATCTCTCCAAAATCTCTAGACGCCGCTAGAGCCCAAAAACCTAAAACCTAAGAGATCTCAAATTTCAACCAAATTTCAGATACCTTAACCCTATGAAAACAAACTATTTAATGCATAAAATTCAGAAGGAAATCTCTAAACAACCCCTACATTCAAATTTCCCTCCTAACTCTCTTCAAAAACCTTCCTAAAATGCTATGTCTAGGCGATCAGATCACGCATGAAGCATAGGGTTCTGCCTCTGTTTCGTAAGCCGATCCCGTATGGACCGACTAGACCGGTCTAACAATACTCCCCTCCCAAAGTGTCAAATCGTCCTTAAGGTGGAACGAACGAAATGATTATTGAAGCATTTGACTAATAACACTAGACTAAAAAATGTACTGACATTGGATCAAACAATTCCTTCCTCCAACATCTCCCTAATCAATCTCTCGATCTCATTGTTCTGGGTTTGGGAATGATGATACATATAAACACTGATAGGTGAAACTACTTCTTTCAAAATGATAGCATGCTCATGTCCCCATGAAGGAGGCAACCCTAAGCAACTGAGAAACCAAACTAAACTGCTGAATCAATGGTTGTACTGAAAGACGTCTGACCTCGCCCTCCTCTAATCTAATCCTCTCAAGCCTATGTGGTTCCATCAAATAACCTTCCTCCACCTCATGTATGCTCATCACCTTAGTTTTAAGTGATATCATGACTTTAGTGAGCCCTATATCTCCCCATCATCTCCATTGTCAATTCTCCCCAATTGACCTTAGTGTCCCCCAAGGTCTGCAACAACTTCATTCCATGAATGATATCAGTGCTCCCTAACTCTAATGGGAGAAAATCCCCCCTCACCTGAACACCATATATGATTAACACTACTCCCCTACATATCTCCTGACCCGTCTCCACCTTCCCTATATCCATCATCACTCCATAACACCATGTATGCACTAATGTCACCCCAATTGGCCCACAACCTAGTTGGAGATGAAATTATGGGTAGCCCACTATTAATCAACACTACCACCTCCCTGTTATTTCCCCCTTCATCTTCATGGTATGATCCAGAGTGAATCCCACCATTGAATTCAAGGAGACCTTCTCGTCATCATAGATGGTGAGAACCTGAAGATTTTGATCCCAACACTTGTGCCCTGAAGTATATTTCTCATCACATCTAAAGCATAGTCTCTTTGCCCTCTTCTCTAGCATCTCCCTCTCCGTCAATCTTTTAAAGTTCCCCCCACTTCCTCCTAATGGATTCTCCCTAGGAGACTCATTCATGTTTCATGATACAAGCCCTTTGGGTGTTAAAAGAGTTGTCGTCATCCTATAAAAGCCTCCTGAATTGCTAGTCAGGCTCCCTTCTCATTATACCTCTAATTTTTAACCAGTCGTGCCAACTCCATGGCCTCACCTAAATCACAAGGACTCATGACATTCATTGCAGCTATGATCTCTAATTTGAGTTCCTTCAAGAAGTTCCCCTCCAATGTTGTCTCTAAAAATCGCTCCACTCGAATGACTAGATGCTGAAATCTCTCTCAGTAATCTTCCACTGATATGTCCTGTACTAGTGCAAAGAATTGCTCATAAAAATCTCCTCTTCTATTAGTTTAGAATCTTATTAGTACAAAATATTTTAATTTATAAAATCTTTTTACTAAAAAACTACTTTAGAGATCAATAAAAAAGTCATCTAAAACAAAACCTAAGATTCAAACTTTTCAAACTACACCAAAAATGCTATCTTGATAAGGATTGCCACAAAACTATTTAAGCGTATAAGACATCCACTTAAGTTTAAATGAAATCATGATGCAATTCTTGTATTAATGGGTCAACATACTCTATATGACATGAATAGCACAAAGTTATCCATTTTTATTAAGGCTTAAGCTTCATTTGGGACAACTTTATTACTACTTTCTAAAATAAGTTTTTAGTACTTTTTTTTTTTTTGAAGTAAAAATTTTATACTAAAATATTGTTTTAGAAAGCAATAAAAAAATTATCTCAAACGAAACCTTAATTAGAATGCATGAGTGTTAATCTCTAGTTAATCGACCTTCATATAAAAAAAAACTTTCTCAATGATGTTAGGTGTGCTACAAATTAGTAACAATCATTCATTATGCTCCCCCTCTCGGTAGAATGAAAGCTACATAATTAAGTGGTTATTCATTATTTTCCAAAATAACTGTCTTATTTTCCCTGCAAAAGCATCACGCCATGCTAAATTTTTGCACCCTTCTTTCTTTAGAGAATACTGTTGAAATGGAGAAAAATACTGACACAAATATATATGCAGAACGTTTGATATGTATAAACATCTAAGTATGATTTATTCTAAAGAAAAATACATTTTTACATCTAAATGTTTATCTGATGAAAAATGTCCCAAAGTTAAACTACAAAATGCAGCATACAAACAAATGAGTTCCCATATAAAGAACAAAGATATTACAAATTTCATAACATGTATAATATCTTGTTTGGGATGACTTTTTTGCTGCTTCTTAAAGCAGTTTTTTAGTTAAAAAATTTTAACTTTTGTATTAAAAACCTGCTTTAAGAAGCAAGAGGAAAGCCGTCCCAAATGAAACCTAAGACTTTAAACAAAGAGGCGTGTAGACCAGCTTTTGAGTTAGCGTTTCTACAGAAGAGCAATCATGTTTTAACAGCGACACAATGTACATAATCATCCCTACAGCCAACAAAGATTCGACCGGCTATCATTACAGGTGAAGAAAATGTGTCACCTGGGAGATGCAGGACTGCGAATTCCTCCACCAATTGGTTTCCTGGAACTCCAGCAGCTCTTTCTTGCTTGGCATTTGGATGGATTCGTAACACATGAATTCTTCCAGAGCTACTGCAAATGCAAGCCAACCTGAAACACAGTGATTTAGATTATTCTTCACTGAAAGAGATGGGAAAAAAAAAAGACCAGAGTATGATGTGGTTTATTGGGAAAATTATTCTGTGCGCACACCGGACGCAAGCTTGCATTCGGATTGTTGCATTTTTACTGCGCTTTTATTGTGCTTTTGATGTATTTTTGTAAAAGGGCAACTAATACACAATTTTAATCGCATATTAGCTGCCCTTTTGCTGAGTATTTGCAAAAATACAGCAAAAGAGCAGCAAAAACGCAGCAAATATCTTACTCGCTACCATTTTACTGTGTTTTTCAAATACTCTGTAAGGGCAGGAAAAAGGAAGCTAATATGCCATTAAAATTGTGTATTAGCTGCCCTTTGCAAAAATACATCAAAAAGCATGATAAAAGCGCAGCAATCCGGACGCAAGCTTGCGTTCGGTGTGCAGACATTATAATTTGCGGTTTATTGCCTGTGGCATGGATGTGAAGGTTTGACTATCACACAGCACAGCTCATCCACATAAGCGGATGCAGTGATTGGGTCACCAGTCTGATATTCCCACAGCACAGCTCCATTATCCTGCAACAAAGGTATCCACAAAACTGTGTTTTCAATCATTTGTTCAGTTAAGCCAAAATATTTTTTACAACAAGACCACCGATGCGTTGTCCAATGAATGGAATATAATTAGAAATATTTTAATTTCATTTCAGACAAAAGAAACAAAAATAGGTCCTTAATCATTCTAAATTAGTAAGAAACCAACATTTCCACCCATGCATATTACAGTATCTATCAGTATAGATGCACACTGGTCAAAAAAACATCAAATCCAATCAGCTTTCTGAGTTAGAAAATACATAAATATAATAAACCTATTAGTACGAATAACCACCTTCAAATCCATCAGACTCATAAGCAAATGACGCATTTATGTTTAAGTCAGAGGCTGGATATGGAAAGTTTGGAGATTATCTGAGACATAAAAGTATGAGTAACATTAAAACGTGTGAGGTAGAGGAAGAGGAGAGAGGGGTTAGCGATTTAATTCGTAAAAAACTCTGTTAAATGAATCGTGTTTTTGAGTGCATGTGTACGTGTGAAAAAAGAGGGGTTAAGAGTAGTTACGTCTACTTTGCATTTTTATGAGAATCTTCTCCTTTCCAATTACGTTACAAGTTTTCTGTAAGCTTTTGTCAGTTCAACTTTGTTCTAGTTTTTTAGTGATTACAATCTCATTTTACTATTTTTTGTTATTTTAAATTTAGCTTATTATCATTTTTTATTTTCAAATTTAAATTCAAGACAACCACCAAAATTCTAAAAGTTAGTTTTCAACAACATGCTACTATTAAATCCAATAAAAGGAATCTAAATAATTATTTTCAGAAGCCAATTACTCGATCTTGCAGGCCATTTAGTAAGCATTAAGTGTAATATATGTATATGATTTACCAAGTCATCCTAACACTAGGAAAGATAATGATAAATGACTGAGAGTATTGTGGGCTCCAAAAATTCGGCCCCAGCCTCCCCGCTTTACTTTTTTATTTGGCGAGGGAGTTTTAACGGAATAAGTTCCGGGGTAAATTTTGGAATGCAGATGGGTATGTAGATAAGACACTACCCAGAGATTTCGCCCTCATTTTGCGAGGACTTTATGATCTGAGTTCTGGTTTCCTATAGACGCAAGCCCCTATAGTTAATTACCCCTCCCGATCATGAGAGAGAACTTTCGATTAAGGCTAGTCGTCAATCAGATACGTAGAGTATACGTGTTATCTAGCATATAGTAGCAGCATGGATTGGATTTGGAAATTGGGTTTGGATTTGGGTATTTGGAAAGATTTGAAAAGTTTGATATTTAAAATAAGAAATTTCACCACCTAGCACTTAAAGCGGATGGTGGGGGAATGGATGATAGACCCGATCAAGATCCCATGGTTCCGTCATCCCGGGCCATCGTGGTCCCTGGTCTACTTAGTCAGAGGAGGTAGTCGACCCAACCTGAAAGAAGGATCCTTGTCGGCAGCCATGGGTTGCTTCGTCCAAGGGTACCTTGTAGACCTGGGATGGATGTTTGTCTAAGGGGATAAATTTAAATCCACCTTAGCTAACAGAGGGCTTTGTGCCCTATCGATCATATCCTATTGATTCATATCTCAAGGATTTAATGCCACTAAGGAGCGTATTGGTTCTGGCCATAACAGCTATCTGTGGTGCCATTTGGCGGCGAAACCACTCGGTTCAGAGGGCCCCGGGTCATAACCGTTTACCTGCAGTGTCATTTGGTTGTGAAACTGCCGGTTAGAGAACACGTACCACGTCCTTACTGACAAGAGATTGTTGAGAATGGATCCTAGTAATATTTTCGACTAAGCATTTGGCTCTTTGTGAGCTAGAGTTTATTTGAATTTGTCCACCCCGGCAGACTGTTGCGGAGGATGGATGGGCCTTGCTTTAAGTGTTGATGGATTTATTTCAATTTTAAATATTTTTGGGATTTTGGAATTTTTTGGATATTTGAGATTTTTTGGTGGAATTTGAAAGTGTTTGGAATGGACCCCTCCGGTTGAGATCTTCAATCAACGCGACCATCATTGGGGTGTTCGAGGTCATTTCTCTTTTATTGATTGAATCTTGTCGACTCTATCAAATTATCGATAGAGGATCGGATTTCGTAAGATTTATGCCCTTGATAGTGAATTCTTTTGATTGTAGGCCTTGAAGGCCTGATATGAATGTATTGAAACAAATACAACGGTCTCCACAACCATGTATTTGTTTGAATGGTTCGAACCCTGTCAACTCCTATTGATTCGTATAGAAGGATCGGATTCGAAAAAGAATTCACTTATTGACCCGCGCAGCATCCCTAGACGTCACGTGTGTACCAATAACACATTCGCCGGGGCCCATGCGGATGTTTGGGGGCATTTTATAATTGAACCCTGTCAACTCCTTTCATCTACTTAGAAGGATCGGGTTCAAGTTTAATAACCCGCGTAGCATCTCTAGACGTCACATGTGTTTCTACAATATGCTCGCCGGGGCCCATGCGGGTATTTGATTACATTTACCCATTTTAGTGTGCCTATGTGTATACAAACTATAGTGCACGTGTGGGGGTATTCTTGGAATAGACGTCTTCTGTCTGCTTGTACGAATATTGTAGATCCGGTGGCGTATCCTAGCAGCTTCTGAATTGAGTTGTTCGCTGCTTTGTACAGGTAGACTGTCGTGCACTATTTATTGATTTCTGTAGGTGGATCATAGTGCACTAACTAATCTCCTGCTTTAGCCGTAGGGCTTGCACTTGTTGAAGTTCTTCTACATTTTACTTGTGGATGCTTATTCAGTTGTTCATAAGTACTTGTATTTTCAGTGAATTCATGATTATTGCTTGTATGTGAACTGTAGGGTCATATCGCATTCACTATGCATCATCCCTAGCGTATTCATTTGTACATATACTAGCACTGGTTGTTGGATGGATTGTGCTTCTCACATGTCACCAATATTGGCATTACCTATTACAACCGTACATGTTCATTTGTAAGCGTAATATGAGGTGGATATTTCAAGTCAAATATCGTCATTCTAGAGTTTCATGTCATGACTTATAACCATGTCACATTTCTTCCATTTGACTAACACTTATGAGCAAGTTGTGTTGGCAACATCCTTGTCCACTACGAATTATTGCTTACTTACATTTGATCTTTTTTTCTTTGATATTTCTTCTCAGAGTTTGATTATTTTTGGTGATGGGGATGCCATCATGCCCACTCATTATGCAAAATGAATCTCTGTTTGCACTTTGAAATTTCTCTATTCAATGTCAAGTTCACATTTATTTGATCCTTGCTCATTCTTCAAATTGAATTCATTGTTGCTTGTGAGCAAAATAACAATCACGCTTACTAAGGCTTCAACATGAGTCTTCAATCCCTTTGCTTCCATGATCATATTTATTGATCAACATTTATATTTTATCGTGCTCATACATTCAACGAATTAGAGCTTGATTTTTTCGCATTATTCATTTTAATTCAAGTATGGATCAAGATGGATTCTTCGCTGTTTGGATTAAATCCTTGCTTGAATCCGGATTGTCCAAATCATTCTCAATTAGTGTACAAATGATGTTCAAATTTTGAGCTCATGTTAAGTTCTCATTTCAACTTTATCTTTCTTAAGTTATAAATCTTTGTATTATGTCCAATAGTCCAAGTACAAGTCCTCTGCGTCTTTGCAAGTTTCATTGCATGTTCAAATTGCTCACTGTTGTTCAATCCGGTCCGAGTTCATAAGTCCCCTGTAGTTCACTTGAATTCGAGCCATTCTCTTGTTTCGTTTGCATTCAAGTTATTAGATTGTTTGAGTTTGAATTAAGTCCATTTGATGCTCCAATCAATGTCCAAGTAAGGCTCCACATTGTTCAAAGTACGAATTGCATTTACCCGAAATTTCGGCAGCCTTCCGGCGTCTCCCCCGTTTAGGGGAAAACCACGGAAAACTGGGCCTCCCGCCACGCTAGAGAAAAGCGTGCACGGTAGGTGCCCTCAAAAGAGGACACCGCGGCCGTAATAATTTTATTCCCCACCACGCCAGAGAAAGGCGTGCATGGGTTACGGGCATCGGTTTAAAATAAGCAATTTTATATTTGACCCCACCTCGCCGTAGGCGTCGCACCGGATTCCCTTCCCACCACGCTAGAGAAAAGCGTGCATGAATTGGTTTTTCGGTCCGACACTAACGCCGAAAATGGTGTTTTGATTACCCGCCCTGTCGCAAGCATCGCAACGAATTCCCTTCTCACCACGCTAGAGAAAAGTTATACTCTCTCTCTCTCTCTCTCTCTCTCTCTCTCTCTCTCTCTGCGGGCTGAAGAAGCAGGGGAGTCGGCGTGGAAGGAGCTCCGGGAGCAGAGAAGCAGCGACGAGATCGGGAGGGGGTCGTGCGAGAGGAGTTCGGGAGCAGAGGAGCGTCGTGGGAGGAAGCGAACGAGAGAAGAGGCTTCGGCTCCTATTTAACGACGCGAAGAGGAGCGAAATCGAGGTAGGTTTACGGGATTTCTGCAGGATTTCCGATCGAGACATCGAGCGGCGCCGAGCTACAGGTATTTTGCGAGATTTCTTGCCGGATTTCAGGATTACGTGGATTTTTGTTTTGATTTCTTTTTCTCTTTTTTTTTTTTTTTTTTTTTTTTTTTTTTTTTGCTGTTGTTCATTATCTGATGGTCAACAAGTATATATATAAATGTCTTAGTATATCTTATGTGATGGCATATGAACTGTTGGATAGAAGTGCAATACTTACCATTTTTCATACAAATGACTATAAATATACTGACTATAGATTACCTAAAAGGATGACACTCTTTCACCAATGCTATAACCTTTCAAATTGTTGGTATAATGTCATTTATTACCACAATTATACAATAAATCATACATTTTTTTGTTCATATTGCATGCCCTAATGTCCTATCATTTATACTTTAACAAATAGGAGTTGTTGAGTTTGAATCATCAAACTCATTAGTTGTAAGATTTTCTTATAATAGGTTCTACTACAGTGTTTTGTAGAACATCACCATGGGGGTAGATCTTGCAGCAATAGGATTTTATTCAATATTTTTAAGTTTAGGTAGTAGCTCTACTTGTATAATTTCATAGTTTTGCATATGCATTAATTCTTCCAATTTCTTTTCTATCAATTGTTTTGCTTCTTTGTTGTACTCTTGTTATGGGTAATATTAACGAAATAAATATTACTTACTTTTATTTGCATACGCTTATTATTTATAATTACTCGCATATGAACATTCACTTGCAAATACAAAATAGGTTTTAATCAATCTTAACTCTCAAAACTTAAGGTTAATTATGTCATAGCGTCCCTTGTTGTCGACATGTACTGAAATTACACATCTGGAGTGTGACTAAAAGTCAAGTCCTTAATTACACTCCTTTGACTGCATTAAATTTCACAACTGGCATTTTAGGATTCAACAAAATGATTTTATAGTTATCATACTAAAAGGTTCGATGCATAAGATATTTATAAAAAACTCACCATGTCAATTGAGTACAGACCACCATTTCGAGAACAAATCAACAGCTGCGAATGAATTTGTGTGTCAGTATTTTCAATAGAAGTATATGAGTCAAGACTCATCAGGCGTAGATATTTGCATTACTCTTACTTTAATATACATACTTTAAATCAAAAGACATGACTAAAATTCTACCTCCTATTATTGCTTACAAATTTCAGCGAAACCAAAAATTTTATCTATGGTTAGGCATATAGAGCGACCAAGTACCCAAAAAACCTTATCATCATGGAAAGCCTTCCAGGATTGAGAAAGGCTTACTGGATAATGAATAAAATAACATACAAATTGCACTAACTCCTACCCCTATAGGGTCTGGGGACGGATAAATGTATTCCTTCCCAAAACTAGGCAGGAATCTTGTTCACAAGCGACAACCTTTTAGAGATGAAAATAACAAAATCATTAGAGTTGAGCTTTATTCAAGTATGAAGCCTTTGCAATTGCAAGCTCCAAAACTTATTTTCTGTTACGTTGGAATTCATTGACCTGATCTCTCATAAATGAGGTAACTTGAGGCGAAATACTGGTTCTTAAGAAAATGAAGGGGAAACTTTCAAGTAATCTGGAAAATTTTCCTCACCTCATGTTCCAATTAATTGTAAAAAAAACAATACAAAACAATATAGGAACTTTCGAAATATGAGGGTGATGATATAGGCTGGTAAAGAAGTACACTGTAACAACATAGAATCTAAGAAAGGGGATCAGCACTGAGGATAATTTATGTGCAACAAGAATGAGATAAAAAAGGAATGGAGTAAGCATGACAGTAAGAAATATAGTTTCCCTGGAATCAATAGAAGTAAAATTATAGTTTGTGGTAAGAACGATTCGTGTAGCTGATGACATGCAGTTCCGAGTTGGAAAAATGGCCATGATACTGACAACACATGCAAATTCCATCGGAGGTTTACATGTTCTAAACTAGTGTAACTGTATGAATATGTAGAAGGTTTAAAAAAAATTCAAAATACAATAAAAAAAATAAATAAAGGCATTCATATCTTGAGCATCAGCATCTACGGACATCCCAGAGGCGTGACTGATAGGAATGCATAATTTTTATTTTTTTTAAGGATACAATTTTTTTTGTTTAGAAGTTTGAAAATGGAAGGATCATTTGGTGAAGAATGCTCGCATGTAATGTATGCAATTATATACACAGTTGGGAAGGGCTACAGGGAGGTTTGGGCGGAAGGAAACACCAAATAATAAATTTCTAATCAGGAAATGAGGAGACGGCCCTTATCAAATAAAAGTACTGATTGCACTTCACATGTTAGAATGCAGAAGTATAAAACTAGATTTACTAGCAATGCACGTAAATAAAAACTTTTCAAATTACAAAGGATAAATTGTGAAGTCAAATTTCAATAAGAAATTTGTACAAAAAATTTAAGAGTCCAAAATAGATCATGTGCAACTAGGGAGGCTTGATGATGGAGTATGGAGTTGCAGAAGGCTATTTAGGAAAAGATAAATGGTTTTAAATAAACATATATATATATATATATATATATCAGAGAGAGAGAGAGAGAGAGAGAGAGAGAGAGAAGAAGAAGAAGCATGTAACCATTCTAAGAAAGCTAGTCTCCCAAGGAGGGTGGCAAGCATGACTACATTTTATTATAATTTAATACCAGATTTGAGAATAAGAGAAGTGAGATATTTAAAATAGCCATGTGAGACGGACCACATCAAATTGCAAGTATACGGTAAGGTTTTTGGGACACAAATTCAAACGGTAGGAGTGTTCTTGCTTAATAAAACAGAATTGGTTGGTTTTAAACCAACAATGACCTCCGTATATAATCAGATTTAAGGTAGACTTGCCTACAATCTTACCTTTTTTTAAAAGGAATTTTTAAGAAAATCAAATATCTTAAATAGTAATTTTACCTGTGAGGGAAGAGTGAAAGATATGCATGCCCCAGCAAATATTGGACCACCAACACTCGCCTAACAAATCAAAACATCAAAAGCAGATATTAATAGTTATCGGAAACAAGCACATCTCATATAGCTGAACTGTTCCTTGTCGTAAGAAGGCCAAAGTTGACATAAAACTAATCAACAACAACAACACAAGTCTTTATCCCACTACATGGGACCGGCTACATGAATGTTTTCTCTCTATTGTGTCCTCTTAAGAGTCAAATTCTCATTTAAATCTAATACGAAATTTTAGTTTCTAATATTTTCTAACCAAAAAACTAATCCAATGAAGATATTTTTTATCATGCTTTGATTACATGACGTTAAATAGTCTTTCAAGTGTTCATGAATTATACTCTTCTAAATCCTATTGAGTGGTACATAAGGTTGTAAATCTATTTTATGCAAACATTTTTGGCATAACTTATAGCTATATTTTGTTTTAATCTTTTGATAAAATCATTTATCTTCCTAATCCTTATACAGTAATTCTATCAAATCTTGGTATAAACCTTAAATAACCATCTCTCTAACATATGCATTACCACGAGACAGATTCATGTAACCTAACGGGGTATAATTAAACGTTTTACAAACTTTGTGAGAGATTGAAGGAGATATAATATCAGAATACAAAGTTTCCATCCCATGAGCAGAAATTGAGCTTCAGTGCACACAATTCCACAAAGGAAAATGTTTAGAGAAAATCTGAGTTCTTCAGTAAAACATTCCGATTTTAGGGATTAGTTATGATTTTTTCTGCCTTCTTTTAAAGGCAAAAATTCCCACGAGTGAAACAGAAAGTCAAAGGCACTAAAATTAGTCTGTAAGAAATCACAGTAAGCTCGGCAGGAAATACCTTCCAAACAGAATGGCCTTTTGGGTTTAGAGCCATCACACTCCCATTCACTGAGCAACAGAAGACTGGTAAAGGAAAATCCAATATATAAAAGTTATTAAACAATTAAGTCAGGAAAGAGAGAAAATTTCACCAATAAAACAAAATTTAAAAGATAAACAGAAAATAGACCGTAAAGCAAAGCACATGAACCATCAGAAACAGCGTACCATTACCACTGGAAGAATCTAGACAAAGAGATCCAAATAATGGTGCGTCTGCCTCATACCTCCATAAAAAGCCAAACGGTGTAACCTGACCAATTCAGGAAATATATATTGAACCACGCATCAGAATAGATAGGTTTCTGGAAAAGATAATTACAAGATTAAATAATAAATTACATGCACGCAAAAGGATCACTTTGCAAGGCCATACCTGTTAGCAAACCTAAAATACAATAGTAAGTTTTAGAAGTGGTGCTACATAAAAATAATCAAAAATAATGCACCCACACAATCACTTTTTATAGCTGTGTAAGGAAGATTTGCATGCCTGGCCAAATTTGAACATGCATTTAATCCACGAATAAAGATCCCAGATGATTATTAACTTTTTTATACAAACGTGATCGGTTGTTAAAGAATAAGAAGAGCACCGGAACTCGCTGTAGGTTCACAATGCATCCACCACCTAGGAAGCTTGTGCATGATAAGAGGACACAAGGATATGGAATCATAAAAAATAATGGAAGATCTATAATGATCACAATGAGGTGAAAAATATAATCTAGGAATTCACTCATACACATAAAAAAGGGCAAAGAAACTGCTAATAATAAATCAAAGGCCCACCCATGCAAATACACACCAAACAGAGATTAATGGCCCTCATTCATAAACAAATATTTTTCATATTAATGTATATTTTTTGTAAGAAGATAGACCATCATGGATGGACTATCATCATTCCATGTGGATAGACTTATTTTCATATGATCTTATTATGACAATGTAACATCCAATTAGTAAATTACTATGATAGGAAACATTATTTTTAGGAAAATATTCCATGTATAGTTGGCAGAGCCTGTTTGTATTATTGTACATAGACTTATGGCATAGATTCCTTTATTTAATAAAGTTAATGGAGTATGTTTATATCATTATACATTTGCGCATTGTATTGATCCCTCCATAAAATAAATGGGTTTTCTACTAGATGAGACTACGAAATCTTTTTGTTTTCCACTCAATTTGGTTTCAGATTGATGTTAAACCTAACCCTAGCAGTTGTCCCCTACTTGATTTTTCCCTTGCCCATCAATCCTGCTCATCCATAGTGCCCGTGAACAACCACACTCCTGATCCCCCAACACCTACCGCTAATCCCACTCTAATGCTACTCATCCACTCCCAATCCTTCAACGCTCATTGACAATCCCAGTCAATAGCTCCAATGTCATGTAAATTAAATCTTAGTGTTATGTTATAAGTGCAACTGTATTAAGGAATTAGAGAAGTGTGTAAAATGTAGGTTTACAGTGCTAAATTAGATATTTAAGTCGAATTAAAGAGAAGTAATTAAAATAGATATCTCATAAGAAATTATTTTTTGATCGTTAAGTATTGAAATAAAGGATGCGGAGCATAAAGATTATCAAAGCTAAACAAATAGTAAAATTTCATCGCAGGTTAGTGATGACGTCGAGGTCGCCAAGTTCGGGTTGAAAGATAGTCCATAAAGTGAAGGGAATACTTTGAGAATTGCTTTCTTTAGATTCTTAATTACCGGTTATGAAAGAACTAGACCAACGGGAGAAGAGTGGGAGCACAGCCCATTGATTCAGTGGGTTACCTTTACTCTGTTGATGCAGTGAAAGTACCTGTTGACCCAATAGATCTATTAGAAGCATCATCAGTGGAAGCAGATCTAGTGCTAGCAGGTCGAAGAATGAAAATGTCCATATTCATATCGAAAAAGTCAACCCCTCATAATACTAGTCAGAGACGTAGTGTACTCCCAAGTAAAATGAAAAAGGCATGAAAATGAAAATTATTTTACCTTAATTGGTGCACATTTTAGACAATACTCCTATTACGAGTGTTAAATAAAAAGATATGAAATGATAATAAAAAAAAAATATTATCTTCAGTAAAATGATATTGCTGCCTTTATCACACCAAATATTTCTGCATAAATTCTTGCAAATAAAATATTTAATAATTACTTATGATGATTCCCTTGAATTTTATTCTACGTATTAAAATTGTAATTAGCCACTAAGTTTGTTTTGTGAACTCAATCAATTACAAATAAAATATATCATTAATACTCCTAAAGATTGAATAATTGAAATAGAAGGATTTGCACACAGGAAAAGAGGTATAAGTGAAAATAGGTATTAAGTAATGTTATGCACAAAATTTCAATTCAATTACTTTGACATCTTTGAAGTAGACTTGCTTTGCCCATGGTTTAAATTGAGTTTAAAAATTAGTGGCTCTTTACATTTTTTAAAGTATTTTATTGGATTATTTTAATTGTTAGTTGAAAGAAATCTAACTACCATTTGACTGTTTGTTCCTGACTTGATATTTCAAGTGCTAAAGATGGGTCATGAATATATATATATATATAGAAAGAGAATATAGCGTGAAAAGAGAGAAAAAAGGCTTCAAAAAAAGGGAAAGAAAAAGAGAAATTAAAAAAAGTGTTGGTCCACGCCTCGGAAATCTCATCGATCTCTTACATAAGTATAAAATGCAACATGTAAAAACTCCAAACTCTTAAAATCCTCATTGTGACACACTTGGGGTAACAAGCAGAACCTGTGTGAGCTTTTTTTAACTCAACAAAGAAAGTCGTAATCAACGCTATCAGCACAGCAAAGAAACCCTGTGCGTATTTTTATTAAAACAATGGGAAAATTAAAATCTAAACGTTGTTCCAACAGAGCAAAATAAAAATTTTAAATTTTAAATAGATACATGAAAACATATGCACACATTTTTAAGTTCAATGAAATATAAGACCCTTTAGCCATGATATCTTATGACATCAATAATGCACGTTATTATTGGCGTGATGAGAAGGCCCTCGTAGATTCCCCATACACCTAGGAGACACCAAAATGCTGAATTTATAGACTCAATAACGTGAGTAAAATGAAAATAAAAGAGAAAAACAGCAAAAATGAAATATCAACACAAAATGCAAAACCTGTCGTGTCAAATGAATTGTAAGAACCAAAACTTAACACGAAAATGAACAACAAGAAATTGGACATCCCTAATGAGGATGAATAGAATATAATCGCTCGCCAACAAGCATGAATAAGAGCATGTTAAATATGCAAAACTCAAAGATGTGAGGACTAAATGCAACCAAGCAACACTATTTTGAATGCACAACAGGGCTCAAAATGTAAATAAGCTATCAGATACATAACATTCACGCAAGCGGATTGTTGACCTGCTGTATAAAACAAAAGAGAAAACAAAAAAATTAAAATCCACGTACCTGTCCGGCGCCGAATTCAGCACGACGTCGCTTATTTTCCCACGATCTCCGCATAAGGCTCGCACGACGACATCACATCTCTCACGATCTCTCTGGCAGTCGTAAAAAGAGCCGTAGGAAGGGATTCACCTCATTCTCTCGCTCTCCGATATTTCTCCCTCCCTCTGTGCTTTTCGACTTCGCCAATTCGACGACATTTCCTTCCTGTTGAAGCGGAGGTTCCGACATTTTGATCGGAAGAAGCAACTGGAGCTCGCCGACTGCGAAGGCAACGTTCTCTCTTTCGCGCACTCCTCCGGCTCCAACGACAACTTTCCTTTCCCTATTGGATTGGAAGTTACGGAACTTTGATCGGAGGCAAGAACTGGAGCTCGCGGCTGTGAAGACAGCTTCCTCCCTTCCCTATAGCCTCTCCGGCACCTCCAGTTCCGTCGTGGACGTGTGACTTTGTTCCTTCTCCGACTTTCCTTCCCGTCAAATTGGAAGTTCCGGCATTTTGATCGGAAGCAACCATAGGAGCTCGCGGACAGTGAAGCTTCGGCTCCTCTGTGGAGGTTCGGCTTTGCTCCGTCGACGTTGTTCCCTTGCCGTCGCACCGGAAGTTGCGATAGTTTGATCAGAAGCAAGAGCTGCAGCTTGCTGGCAGTGAAGGTAAACCTCTCCCTTGCACACACCACTCGGCCAAATCCCGTAATTCCGCTAGATCAAGGGATTTAAGAAAAAAAAAATATTTTTTTATTTATATAATTACTTTTAATTAATTCTAATTAATTTAATTATTATTTTTAATTAATTACTATAATTAATTATAATTAATTTTGATTAATTGATTATAATTATTATGATTAGAATTAATTTTAATTAATTATGATTCATATAATTAATTATTATTAA